TTTTTTTTTACAATTTCTTATGTTTTTCGCGTTTGTTTTGTTACACGAGATCCTGTGATTTTATTGGATCCGGATAGTGTCGGAAGTGATCTTCAGCGATCTTCAGCCCAGAATTTTCTTGGCATAAGGGTACCCCCGTAACCGACCGTAGCCGACCGAACCCATCCCTAATCGCTCCTGGCAATTCTCTCCGGACAATAAGTAATACAGTATACCCTCGTTTATATCAACCCATTTGGATTGGTTTTTTAGGTTGATATTAACGAGGTTGATATTAACGGGTCGACTGTACTAATCTTTATTCAGAATCTTGTAACACCTTTTGGGAAGTGAGTACAAAACGCATGTTCATGTATGACAAACAATGAAGCAATACGTACTGTGGTAATGAAACACAAAAAGGAGTGTGACTAAAAAAACATATGCGTACGTATATACAAGTTTGCCATCAACTTTTTCATTGGAATAAAGGTCTTAAAAAATTGTTAGTTATCAGTAACACACATCAATCCTACCAAAAAAATTTATCTGGATACATTATTTGTTGAAATTTATATATTGAACTTATGTATGCTTCGATTTCGATTTGAATTAATGTTAAGATAATTTGTTATTAAAAATTTTCTTATAACCATACTGGTATATATAAATGAAGTCAATCCACATATCTTTACTCATAATAGTCATCGTATTTTTCATGTAGCCAACTTAAGTTACATATATTAATCGCTGCAGCATTTACACAGTTCAGAAAAATGTTTTTATCAAAGATTGTAAATAGTGCTGTTGAAATAATAGCTCCTCACATAAAATCCAAAGTTGAAAGATTAGAGGAAGAATGGAAATGTATACAAAGTTTTTACAATTCATCTAAAGATAAAGGTACGCAATTAATTAACATGCAAATATAATTTTAAGAATCTCAGACAAGATCTTGCCTTTTTAAAAATAAATTTTCATATAGTCTTAATATTCAAAAAATTATCGTAATAACTTAAATGTTTAAATATGAACTTTAATTGTAGTTTTTGGTGTATAACGGTTATATTTCACATTTACATAATTTCCTTTTAACCTAATAGATTTGTCAAAGTTAAAGTATCATTTTGAAGAGATTTCTAATCATCTTGAAAACATAATTCGGTACATTAAAGAAGAGGATATTAAGATTCGAATGTCATCTAAGCCCTTCTCAAACAGAAATTGTATAGATTTTGTTCTGGAAAATAATATCTTACTTTGTCTGGTTAATTATGCACAGAAGGATGTATGTATTTACATATTTAATTCTTTAATCCTGTTTTGTAATAATTTAAATTATGATTTGTTACATTTAATAATTTATTACAATTTTATGGTAGCCGCTTATAAGAATAGAAGTAATCAAATTTTTTACACATTTTGTAATAAATATTCAACCTCTATTACTTTCCGCTATACACAATCCGCTCGAAGAATTAATATCATCATTATACGAAATCGATGAATACAATACTGAGTTGATACAAGAATTGATTAAATTAATTCACGCTGTTATAAGACACATTATTATCCTACCTGAGTTAATTGTATTATATTTCAAAAAAAACGAAAAAGATAAGGTACCTTTTTATTTATTATCTTTAATAAGGATTTAACTTCGTTAACATAACAATTATTTTTCTTATTAAATCAGACCAATTTTCCAATGTTTTCAATATTATTGGATTGCATCAATATACGAGGGCAAACTGGACGTGTGTCTAGAGAAGCATTATATTTGATCTTACGTTTATGTAAAGATGATGGATGTTTTAAAACTTTCTTATTAAATGAAACGGAATTCTTTGAAATAATAGTATGGAGTTTGATTATTTACTTTGTTTTAACTAAATACTTTTAGTCTAACGAACTGTTCATGCATATATTTAGAACCTTCACTTAAAAATGGCTTTTACTGCGTTACCAAATAATAATACGTTAATTGTGGTTACAAATGCAAATAATA